ATAGGTTGATGCTCAACCACTGAGCCACGCCGGATGGGCCACAGAAGTTAAATGTCTTGACCACAGCCACACAGCTAGTAGGTGGCATCGCCTGATTGAAATCCAGGTCTTTTGCCCCTGTGGAGTAAGAGCGGAGGTGCAGGAAGACTGGGGTGGGATGGATCTATAGGACTGGCCTGGGGGACAATGGCTTCTCTGGATCCTGTATGGAGCGTTGACAGGGACGAGAAAGGGGCTGCTCGCAGAAACCGAAGTGGGTGAGGCCTCGAATGCCCACAGGACTTGTCGTTTCAGCCAGCCTGTCCCTGTCCCTCCCCATGCCAGATCAGCCCCAGTGTGATCACTCAGCGGCCTGTGTGTTTGGGGGTGGGGAGGGTGGTGGATTAGGAGGGGCCGGGCTGGGCTGGCGTGATTGTGACTCTCGCCTACATCAGCCTCTCATGGAAGTGCTGGTGACTCATCTACCCTTCCCAGCCAGTGGGGCCCCTATCAGGGTGTGACTTGTGGTAAACAAACCACAAAATGCCATCTGGGCAAAGGGGGAAGTGAGGAGGGCAGGTGGCTCAAAGGGCAGCCCTTGGTTTCATCTGGGCTGGCCCACCCAGCCGTGGCAGGAAAGCTTTCCCCGCTGGGTGAAGCGTGCCGGAAAGTGTCCTCTGGCACTCTGACCTCTCTTTCCAGAGCGGGTCTCAGACCTCCACTGCCCTGGGCTGGACCACAGGGATGGCTGTTCTAGCCCGGGCCCTGGGTCTTAGAGCCCGGAGACCACATCTCTGGGGGCTTCTGAGAGGTGTACCTGGGTAAACCGATCTGCACGTGGTCACTGACCCCTACACTAAGCCCGGCAGATGAAGATGGCCGACAGGGTAGGTGCTCAATAAAGGTTGCTGCCCGACTGATGACATGAACCTCAAACTCAGAGGCCGGAGGAGAAAAGGAGGAAGCATATCCCAGCCCTCAAGCGACGCAAAACCTCACTCACATGTATTACATAATGAACAGAACAATTAAGTATTAAGTTGGGGGACTCTCCCTGGGTGCTCTGAGAATTTAACATGGGGGCTGGGGCTCTTAGGCAGACTTTCTGGAGGAGGAAGACTCAGGTTGGTTCCCATGGGGAGCCTGGGTCTGAGTGTGGAGGGAGTGCAATATGAGCCCAGTGAGAACTGTGGTGATTGTATGATCCTTCAACGGGGAATGGCCTTATACATCTGGTCTGATGCCCTCAGGCCTGTACCACAGTAACAGCGCTTGGTTATAGGTTTACCCTGTGTCAGAAACCCGATAAGCACAGGTGCTTCCTTCGCACTTCATCTTCATGCCAACCCTGTAGTGAAGATACCATTACTAACCCATTTTACAGGTGAAGAAACTGAGGATCTAACAGGCTCAGTAAATTGCCTGAAGCCACATGGATACAGAGAGGAGAAAGAACTGGACCTATGTGTCCAATACGGTAGCCACTACCTGTGAGTGGCTACTGAGCACTTGAAATTTGGCTAATCCCACTTGAGCGGTGCTATTGGTGGAAAACAGCACACCAGATTTCAAAGATTTTGTATGAAACAAACAAAAAAGGATATAAAACATTTCAACAATTCTTTTTACTACTTATGATATTCCGGATAAGTTATGTGAAATAAAATATATTATTAAAATGAATTTCATCTTTTTTTTTTAATGTGGCTAGTTGAAAATTTTAAATTCCAGGGGTGGCTTGTTTATCCTGCCACGTGGCTGTCGGCCTCAGGGTGAACTCCTCTAGCAACGGGGTATTCGTGTCCTAGGGTGGCCATAACTAAGTGCCACAAACTCAGTGGCTTCAACAACGGAAATGTGTCTCACATTCCAGAGGCTAGAAGTTTGAAATGAAGGTGCTGGCAGGATGGCTCCTTCTGAGACTGGAGAGGAGACTCTGCCCTGTGCCTGTCACCTAGCTCTGGGTTCGCTGGCCGTCTTTTATGTTCTTTGACTTCAGCCACATCTCCCCAATCTCTGCTTTCCTCCTCACCCGGTGCCCTCCCTGTGCACCTGCCTGTGTCCGAATGGTCCCCCTTAAGAGGACACCAGCTGTTCGCACCAGGCGAAGACCGGCGGATGGCGGTCTGCAACCTGCAAGAACCCGACCAGGTGACATCCTGACCCCAGACTCCAGCCTCCAGAACGTCACCCCCTGTGGCAGCACCTCCGCCATCCTCAGCCTCTGAGGCCAGCCAACACCATTTGCGGACCTTAACCCCTCATTGCTGAGCAACCATGAGCTCCCAAACTCGTCAGCGTTATTCCGCCCAGGGGGAGGCTGTCGCCAGCGCCTGGCCAGCCTGCGTCCACGGTGTCTGCACCTACCTGTCCCTGGGCTGCTACGTCCACCTCGACGATTGGCTCCGGAGGACGTGGGCCACGTCTTCCCCTCGTTGGTGAAGCGAAGCATGAGGGTGCCGAGCGCCTCTTAAAGATGCAAAACCAGTGTGGAAGCCGTCCCAATACGAATGGGGCAAATCTCAGGACGCCACGGAAGCCGCCATGGCCTTGGAGAACCTGAACCAGGTCCTGTTTGAGCTGCAGGCGCTGGGTGCTGCCCGCACAGACCCTCAGCTCTGTGACTTCCTGGAGAAACACTTCCTGGGTGAGCAGGTGAAACTCATCAAGAAGATGGGCCACACCTGACTCACCTCCGCCTCGTGGCCGCCCCCCAGGCTGGGCTGGGCTGGGCGAGTGTCTCTTTAAATGGCTTGCCCTCAGGTACATCTAGGAGCCTTTGGAGCTTGGAGGCCTTTGAGGGCCCCTCTGCCTTCCCCTAGTGTCTGGCTTTTGCCTGAGCCTCTTCCCAAAACCACTAGCAATCCTTTTAACCATTCTGGAGTCTTCCTCTCCGGTGCATTGGACCAAATGGAAACAATAAAGCTTTTTGCAGCAAAATTAATAATAATAATAATAAATAAAATAAAAGGTCACCATTATATTGGGTTTAGGGTCCATCCTACTCCAATATAACCTCATCTGCAAAGACCCGATTTCCAAATAAAGTCACATTCTGAGGTCCTGGGGGTTAGGACTTCAATCGATAAATGTTTGGGGCGTACAATTCAACCCATGACCCCTGGGAAATGCCCTCCCTCTCCTGTAGCTCATTCCTCAGTATTTGAGTCACCCTAGTGATCTGCTGTGGGTGCCAGCCCGTAGACCCACTAAGGGTTCCTCCTCAGATCACTTGCAATGCCTGTTGCAGCCCTGTGAGGTAGCGGCAGGGGCCGGGGACATCCACAGTTCTTCCTCCAGAGCCCAGGTGTGACTGGCCCCACCTTGGGTGAGACTTCATCTGATCCGATAACAACTGGAGAACAGAAAGGAGAAAACTGATAAGGGAGAGAAGGTTAATAATAATGGGGGGGGGGGAGAAACTCAGCCCAGATGACCTTTGCCCTTTCCAACTTTGATTTACAAACACAACCAGAAGGTCACCTGGGTCTGCGGTGGCTGTAAAACCCGTATCAGCTGACACAGCATCTGTTCAGCGCCCTGGGAATTTCCAGTCCTGGCAAATGTGACGGTAACACGGTGGGCCACTTCTCTTTCCTCGTCCTGGCAGCCCTTCAACACCGTCCCAAGAGTGGGAGGGGTCCTGGTGAGGGCTCTGTCTGCCAGACTTGTCCCCCAATGTCCCCGTAAGAAGAGGGGTTGGCTGAGGAGAGCTCTACAGTCCCTCAGAGCAGGCCGGCATCTGGGGCCCAGCTTGACTCCTTGCCACAAGGGTGACTTGGGAAAGTCACAGAATTTATTTGAGCCTCCGTTTTCTCACCTGCAAAATAGGAAAAAGAAAAACAGCTTGCCCTGGTTGGGGTGAAGAGTAACATAAGAGGCCCGGTTGGGGCTCAGGAGGGAGGAAGGACCAAGGTGGGCCCAACTCCATCAGCACCCTGGTCCCCTGTTGCATGTTAGGTTGAGTAGGGCCCTTGCCACTCGGAGGGTGTGGGCCAGGGGAACAGCAGCGGCCCCGGGGAGCGAGTCAGAAATATAGACTCCCAGCCCC